TGATACATTGTTTTCAGGATTCTTCAATGAATGGAAAGTTGAAATGAACAGAATTATTAGAAATATTTTGTAACATTATAAATGTCTTTACTGTCACCTTTGATTAATTTATTGCAAAAAAAAAAACCTACTGTCATCAAACTGAACAATAGTGTAATTTAAATGATCTGCAGTGTGTTTGCTGGAAGTCAATTTTTGTTTCCCTTCTTTCTATTAACATGCAGTTTCAGTGAGATGTGAAGGTAAAGAGGTAAAAAGTGGGTTTTTATCAGTGTAGCTACAGTAACTGAGCCATCATCATAGTAGAGTTTGTAGTTCAATTAGTTTTTTCTAGTACATTTGCTTCCTGATCTTGCGTTGTCTGTAAGGTTTAATGGTTTTCATATGTATGTAAGGTATTATGGGTTATTAATGGTAGTGCTGTTTGCTTGTGTTTAGGAGCAGAGTACAGGGGGTGATGATGCAGATGAAATGCCAGACGTTCAGGAGACAGTCACTATGGTCCCAGGCAGTACACTGCTATGGAGAGTAGCCCCTCGACCGCCAAACTCGACACAGGTAACCCCAAGCCCCCAATGACTCCAACATCTGTCTTGGGTGATTGCATGTTAGGCTTATTCTCTTTTCTTTTTATCCTCAATTCTGTTTAGATGTATAATTTTACCAACTTTGCCATGACGCTTAATGAGCTGGAGCCTGGCATGATTGGAGTCATTGCACCGACAGACTGTCGTTTGCGGCCTGACATCAGAGCTATGGAGAATGGGGATATCGGTATCTCTCTCATATCTCTCTTTTGGCTCATTTTGTTACCATCTGTCCAGTAAGCTGTCTTCTGTATGTTGCTGTACTTATTTTACCCCTAAATTTAAAAGCTATTTATAAATTCCAGATACTGCAAGTCGAGAGAAGGAGAGATTGGAAGAGAAACAGAGAGCTGCCAGAAGAGAGCGTGCTAAAGACGAGGAAGAATGGTCTACGAGGCGAGTATTTGAATTAAGAGCACAACCATCCACTTTTTTACTGGCCTTGGTTCCTCATTTTGTATATTCTCTTTCCTCTCACGTTTAGAAATATTTTAGATCTGTTTTGTTTTTGTTTGACAAACAAAAATGAAAGCTTCTCATGAAATCAAATGAAGACAGACAGAGTCCTGTATATTTCAAACATTTTATTTGTTCTGGTTTAAGTTCTCTTTGAGAATTAACAGTCAACCCTGAATCCATTTTAGATTTTATTTATTTTATTTTATTTTATTTTATTTTATTATTTTAGAGTTTTAGCGTCATCTAAAGCAAACTAGTATAGGTGTTTAAATTTTAAATTATACTATTTCAACTTTATTTGCCATGAAAATAGCCAAGGAAGCTGGCATGGCATTAAAACACAAACTGACCAACCACAGGCATTAACATTTTTTAATGAAGCCAGCCAGTTCTGAGATTGCAAATTGCAATATTAACATTCGAAAACAGAAGCAGATACCATCATTTAAAACCATTTTAGTATGTCCATCTTGAAAGGTTAATGAAAAAATTCAGTGAAGATTTTGAATAGGCTTTTTATTTGTATAACCTTTTTGGCCTCCCATCTTTCAGATGGTTCCAGCAAGGCAATAATCCGTACACTGGAGCTGCAGACTGGATCTACAAGGGTGGTTACTTTGACAGGAGATATCCTCACCTTCCAGACATCTACTGATACGGTTGGGAAGACTAAAAGAGTCTTGAGATTCATCCTTTGCTCTCCTTCACTCAATCCATATCATCTCCTCTCCTTAAGCTCTTTTCATATTTTTCGTTGGAATGTGAGATTCATATGAACAGTTTTTGAACAAAGCCTCTCCACGAGTTCTACTCTTTACTAGAATCTGGAAATTCAGTGTGAATGGATTTATTTATTTTCAGAGGTAGGGAATGCCTTAATGCCTCACTGTTTTTTTCATGTATGTTAGATTCTGAGTTAAACATTCTGTGCAAACCTCAGTATGTTTAGAAATTGCTAGTTTATGTACAGTATGTGCTAACTTACCTTTCCATGCGTCTTGCTAGTTACACTCAGGTGTTCATTTGGGTACAAGTGGTTAGTGATGGCATCGCTGCAGTGCCATCTGTGAAGATTTTTTGTGTCATTATTGAAATGTGAGGCTGCTCAGAACCTATTAGGAGAGCATAATTTTGTGTTTTTGTTCAAACTAATGCTATTTTATCATCTCTATTATATGCTTTTTCCTTATCTCAAAAATATGTCCTCTGTTTTTGGTATGCATGATGTGCAGGAACTTCACATTTAAAGATTCTGACTGATTTTGAGTACCTGGAATGAAAACGAGTTTATTTTTCTGAATTATCCCACTTTTTTGTTTTCCTCCAGAAATTACGGTTATATCTCACTGATTAGGCTCTTGGGCCATTTCTCACCATCTCCATGGTACAGGGGAGTTTACTAAACCTAATATTCTCATTCCTCACACATTTAGATAGATTTTAGATCTGTTTTGTTTTTGTTTGACAGACAAAAATGAAAGCTGTTCATGAAAAATGTTTACTTGGTTAAAAAAAAAAAATTTGGTGTTTTTTAATTGTTAAAAAACGTATAAATAACACAAAACCTATTACATCCTAGCATTGATGTTTTGAGTGTGTTTATGGTTGCCAAAGCGACTTTTCTCTTGTAGAAACTAAAGCCATAAAACTTGTCAGGACTGCATTGTTGAGTGATACATCCTGGTGAATGAAATGGAGATGGGTGCTAATCTTTCTTTTTATTTCAGCACTTAATGGCTCACGAATGTCAAGGTGCTTCACCTTAGCCCACACACACATTTTTATATATATATGTATATATATATATATATATATACAGTATATATATAATATATATATTCACGCATACCAAAAATGCTCAGAATGTGCTTCATTGTTCACATGGTTTTTGCCATACAGCAAATTTCATTCTGCAAGGACAATATATATATTCACGTATACCAAAAATGCTCAGAATGTGCTTCATTGTTCACATGGTTTTTGCCATACAGCAAATTTCATTCTGCAAGGACAAATTTTTTTTCCAGACATAAAAATCGTAGACAAGATGACCTCAGAGGATCATGAAAGACATGTCTTTTATTTCGAAACTTTAAACAATACTGTGATTTTAGCACTCACAAATCTCAGAAGCTATGCAAACATTGATGGGAATGTCTGTCTGTCTGTGAATTGTACAATTTAATGTGTCAATAAGCTCCACTGTTTATGTAAAATACTTTGGTTGGCCTAGCGCAAAGGTGTCAAGCATGCTAGTACTTTTGCCGATGGTTTTTTTCACACTATTATTGGCTGTTTTGCACAGCCTAAAGTTGGTTAGGTGGAGAGACATGTGTATGTGACTGCAGTGATTAATAACACTGCTATATAGTTATTAGAAATGTTTATCATCTACACTTAATGGGAGCTCATCATCTATTGTGTAGCACAAGATAATTTATCTTTAATATGTTCCATGCAGTGCACACAATTCCAAATGCCAAGCTTCGGGCCATGGTATACTTTAAATTAAAGAGTTAACTACAATTTATTTCCCTCTGTATTTTCTACACTATATTGTGGCATGTCTAAACATAAATTATTTAATCTCACTATCAATGCTTTCTAGCGGTTAGAAATATGAGTATATTATTCCACCAGCTGCTAACGTAAAGTCTTTTAAAGCCCTTGAAATCATGAGACATTAAAAAACAACTTATCCCCAGTTGTCTCATGATCTTGTGCCATGTTTATCAGCTATTCCTGTAGCAATCACATCGAGTTAAAATATAAGTAAACCTGGTCACAGTGAACGCAACTATGTAAAGCAAACATACACTAAGAATTTTCAAGTCATTCTGTGTGTGTTCTTATTAAGCTGTTGATATTGGTCGTGACACTAGGGATTGATTGTTTCTGTTGTGAATTTCACAGATAGAAGCCCAAATTATACCACTGGTGCTATGATGGCTTTACATAATTGTACATGTGTTGTGACTTTTTACCATATTTGTATAGATCACATGAAATGCACTTAAGCTATCTTATGAATCTGCTCATTTATTTGTAAACTAGCAATATTAATAATATATGTGAGACCTCACTAATTAAAGAAATTTCATTTTGCTCTTTTGTGTTTGATGGGAATTGACAAGCATCAGTTCAAAATTTCTGACTTAACTTTTGGGAGAAGCTTCAGCTTCTGGCATATGTTTGATGGTGAGAACGTTTGTGAAATATTATCTGTTGATTTGCATTAATTTGACCTAAAATGTGAACTGATCTTCATCAAAGTCAATGTCATGGATAAAGAAGATCTAATTAAACACTTAACAGAAAAAACATGCTTTCTATGTCTTTATTCTCCAAGCTGGTATTGGTTTAGGAGTATAATTATAAGATGATTCAACAATTAATTTGACGAAGAATTGCTAATGCTCAAGAGACAAGCCTTTTTTAATGGTTATTTTTGCTCCAAGGTCAGACAAATGGTGTTTAAAGGACATTCAGTTACACTGTTACTTGGATGGGTTGACTATACACTCAATACAAATGAATATAATAATACAGAAGGTGACAAACAATTGCATAATAGCTGCTATGGATTTCTTCCCAGTTCAGTAGTCATAACTACAACGAAAAAAACAAGACTTATTTGAAGAAAGAGAACAATGACTCACCACTCAACACTCCTGATATCAACTGAATGATTGAATTGTTCATGCAAGACAGAACAAGCCAGACAAGTAACGTATTTGCCCAGCAAAGTGCAAGTGATTCGATCTAAAATGTTTTAACAGTGGTGAAAATGTCATTTAAAACCTCTAAAAGGTTACACTTATCGCTCCAGTCTGTCTTTGACAAACTAACTGCACAATTCAGCGTTATTTGTGTGGGCATATTGACATGTGCAACCACCAATCAGAGCAAAGGACGCAGAATCCTCCACCAATCGAACGTACGCCCCGCCCCTTCTGCTAGTAGAGGTTGGTCGACATCAGAAAAGTGAAAGAAACCTCCAGGGGCATAAAGATGAACATCCTACAAAAATGGTCTTACAGAACTGTTGGGAACAAAGAAGAAAAGTGAAAGAATTCTTAGAATTTGACTAGAAAGAGAGAGAAATGTAAGTTTTATGTTTGTCATATACCACAATCACCACACATATTTGCCAGTACTGCATTTATAGATATGTAATGTAGAAGCCAGTGTTTAAAAGCATGGACCTTTTTTGTTTTAAATGGTTTCCTCAATACTCGCAGCGTTAGCTTCAGGTTTAGCTGCGGATCAGTTGCTCATAAATTAGAAGCTAACTAATTTTATTCTCACTTCACATTAATGATAATGTGTTATATGGCCGTATATTATAACTTTCCTGTATATTTACTACATCGAAACAGGCAGCAGACGTTTGCATCTCGGACAGTGATGCTCTAGATAAGGATGCTAAGTTAATCTCTTGTGCTTGTTAGTATTGTGACTAAAGTATGTTTAATTGTTATCAATTCCCCCAATATTTGTCAGGATTTGTGTATTAGCCGTTACTATTATGAAGAAAAAAAAAACATTTGTATTATTATTAGACCGAAAGATTGCATAATATATTATTAGTAATTTATTACTGTTTCACATGAGTAACCATAATTGTAACTGTAAAAATGTAGTAACTAATAACTATAGAGGCCTAAATATACTCCACTTGGAATGTGAAGGATGTTAGTGGCTGAATATATATATATATATATATATAAGAATTTATCCCTTACAAGAAATTGTGAGACTACTGTATTTTAGTTTACGTTTGTTATAGTTCTGTTTATGCTGCACAAACAGCCAAATAATAAAAAGTACAGTATTATAATTTAATATATTTTAAATATATTGTTCTACTTCTATACATTATTTAGCTGCACAAACATTGTAATTTCCCTCCCTGGGATAAATTGGCTCTCTTTGTTGCTACAGATGTCGTCTGGAGCTCTGTTTCCTAGCTTGGTGTCCGGATCTCGGGGCTCATCAAGCAAATACCTGGTAGAGTTCCGTGCTGGAAAAATGACCCTGAAGGGCAGCACCGTGACCCCGGATAAGCGCAAAGGACTTGTGTACATTCAGCAGACAGACGATTCGCTCATCCACTTCTGCTGGAAGGACAGATCCACGGGGAATGTGGAGGATGTTAGTACACGCTCATATAAACAGCTTTGAATATTCCAAATTCCTTTGTAATGCTGATCTTAAAAATAGTAATATTTTCATTGTTCCTTTTACAAGGACCTGATCATTTTTCCTGATGACTGTGAGTTCAAGAGGGTCAATCAGTGCACCATGGGCCGTGTTTTTGTGCTTAAGTTTAAAGCTGGCTCCAAAAGACTCTTCTTTTGGTTGCAGGTATGCCAGGTTGAGAGAGCCTTCTGGCATCTAATATTGCTCATTAAAAATGTATTGTAAATATTACCTGAAATACATCTTCTGCAATCACCCCTATTTGACCTTTCAGGAGCCTAAGACAGATAAAGATGAGGAGTACTGCAGGAAAGTGAATGAATACCTCAACAACCCACCAATACCTGGCACTCTGGGGAGTGGAGGCGGCAGCAGCCATGAGCTGTCTGCTCTTGGAGGTATTTCTGAAGTATTTTTGTCCAATGCACTGATACCCTTTCTAAACAGTCATTTTAAAGCTGAAGTGTTTATTTTTTCTGTTATAATAATCTTGGCACACACACACTTTGAGTTCTTAGTATTGATCATAGTGGAAAGCTTGAATGTTGTGAAGAAAAATAATTATGTTGAAAATAATGTCTTGCAACTGATACTTTAACATTATTCTCCAGGTGAAGGTGGCCTTCAGAGTCTTCTTGGTAATATGAGTCACAACCAACTAATGCAACTCATAGGACCAACTGGACTCGGTGGACTAGGTGAGTAATTATGATGCTTTATTTTCTCTCTCTGTGACAGTATTGTTATTGTTAACAAAATCTATTAAAATTGTGTTTGGTAATTGAAATGAAGCTGAAGTAAAATCAGAATTGAAAACTGAAATAAACAAGTTTAAGTACTAAAATTACTCAAAGTTTGAAATAAAAATAAATTAAAGATAAATATTTAAAAACAGACAAACAAAAACTAATAAAATAACAAACACACATAATTAAATGATTGAAATTAAAAATAAATAAATAAATGGAAACTGAAATTAATAAAATAAAAAGCTACTTTTGAATGGATGTCAACTATGCCAAAAATGCATTTTTGCATTTGCAACAGAAGCTAACTGGCCCATTCTTACTAGCAAAACCGTGATCCCTTGTATCATCTTATGATCAAATTTCATCTCAAATTAATATGTTCCATATATAAAGTACATGAACCCAGATGTATTTTTACAAGGTTATCTCTTGGCTGATGCCTATCCTTGTAACATCATGAATTTTTGTTTGGTCTGCAGGGGGTCTGGGAGCTCTGGCAGGACCAGGTCTGGCCAGCCTGCTAGGAAGTGGAGTTCCAGCTACTAGCAGCTCATCTTCCAGGTAACAACCAGGAATAGTTTGGCTATGAAAGATTGTACTTAATCCAGTGACAACTGAAATGTTCTTCTTTCATCTTTAGCTCTCGTAGTCAGTCCACTGCCGCCACTCCATCATCCACCTCAGCCCCCACGCGCCTCGGCTCCTCCCAGGTTCCAAGCACACCCATAAGTCCATCTGCAACAGTCACAGCCTCACCCGCACCCACCCCCAGCACACCTGCAGGCCCTGCTCTCTCTGCTGGAGCCACCTGCCCATCTCAGCCCATCCAACTGAGTGACCTGCAGAGCATCTTAGCTACAATGAATGTGCCTACAGCAGGACAAGGAGGTGAGATCATGATGTTAGTTCTCTGTAAGGAAAACCTTGGATTACATGCTGACATGTCAACTTTCTTTGTTCAGTGGACCTTGCAAGTGTTTTGACCCCTGAGGTCATGGCCCCAATTCTCGCTAATGCAGAAGTGCAGCAGAGGCTCCTGCCGTACCTCCCATCTGGAGAATCCCTTCTTCAAAGCACAGAAGAACTTCAAAACACTCTCACCTCGCCGCAGTTTCAGCAGGTTTGACTATTGCATATAGTGATGTAGAGAAATGAATTTTTTTTAATCAAAACACCCAAAATTTTCATGTTGACCGAAACTGAGCATGAAAATAAAATTAAATACAGGGTAATTAAATTTGTTTAACTGGGTAATTAAACTGTTTATGTTGTTCAGGGTGTCCTGTTCTCAGGTGATAAACCAGTTGTAGTAAACATTTTGATATTTCATCTAAAAACAATTTACATAATGCTACTCTAGCATCATTTTTGGTCAGGTAAAGTGCATCCTCACTGCTGACATGTTTACCTGTAGCTAGTCCGCATTTTGTGTATGAAATAGGCACTGACAGAGTCAAAACGCATCATCAGAAAAGTGCTAATTAAATGTCATGGTTTAAGTCAGTGATTTGGCCAAACCATTTTTTTTCTATTTTCAGTTGATTAAATTTTGGTGCATCTCCAATTGTGTACACTTAGTAAATTAATTTCAAGACAAGTTTGTTAGCATAACTGCTCTTGGACCAGATTATTTTTAGAATATATCTTCTAATATTCATCTGCACTTTTTCTGGGTTGTGTAGGCTATGAGTATGTTCAGCAGTGCACTGGCATCAGGGCAGTTGGGGCCTTTGATGAATCAGTTTGGATTACCTACAGAAGCCGTAGAGGCGGCCAATAAAGGAGGTCAGTATATTTCAAATGTACACAAACTGATCTGGTTCATTCTATTTCTAAACACTTGTTTATACTTTCACATAACATATACACACACATATACATATATATATATACACACACACACATATACATTCCTCTCTCCCAGAGATCCTTCTGATAAGTCTGTGGTATATACAGAATGTCCTTACAAGGGCAAAATTGGATGTACTCTAAAGTAGTGGTTCCCAACCCTGGTCCTGGAGGCACCTCAGCACTGCACATTTTGCATGTCTCCTTTCTCTGACACACTAATTTCAGGTCTTGGAGTCTCTACTAATGAGCTGATGACCTGAATCAGGTGTTATCAAACACACCTGTCTGTAATTATCAAGTGCTCCTTCAGATCCTAATTAGTTGGTTCAGGTGTGTTTGATCAGGGCTGGAGCTGAACTCTGCAGGAAGGTAGATCTCCAGGAACAGGGTTGGGCACCCCTGATCTAGACAATTGTTTTTGGCTAGATTTACATAAATCATGTAATAAAAAACTGAGATTTTCAGAAAGAAAAGAACATTCTTATGAAGGATAAAATGGCTGTTTTTGCTCTATTTTTTTGTAGATGTGGAAGCATTTGCCAAGGCCATGGAAGGTGAAGGCAAGTCGAATGAAGGAGGAGACAAGAAAGATGATGAGGAGGACATGAGTTTAGATTAGGCAACTCTCTACATGAGCGGTTTCTCTGCATTCATCAGTTGAACTTTTTTCTCACTGTAGAGCTTCCAGAGCATCATGCTGTCAAGCTAAATGTCATGTTAAAGGTAATGTTTTTTTTAAATGGATAGTTCACACAAAAATGAAAATTCAGTCATTGAAAATGTAAATATTTTTAATGAAACCTGAGAGGTTTCTCTTACTCAATTTAAAATCTAGATAAAGTGATCATATCCCTTCACAAGACTTGGATTAAACTACTTGATTCATAAGGACACTTTCGGATGTTTTACGTTTTGGTTACCTGGACTTGTTTTTCAAAGATTATTCAGAGTTTTATGGGTTTGGAATGACATGAGGGTGAATAAAAATAAGATTTTTTTTGTGAACTATTCCTTTAAATGCTTAATTCTGTCCCAGTCACAGTGACAGATTTTTTTTGTTTGTTTTTTCAGTATTATGATGTACATTTAAAAAATATACAAAATAGATAGGGTTAATTAGGGTGAATATGCCAAGTTTAATGTGCTTTCAACATTTCTCTGTTTGAACGGCCTCACATAGCTACTTCTAGCTTTACTATTGGCATTGGGGTGCGACTACCTTTGTGTCTGAACTATAGATATTTCACATTTCTATTTTAATCAGGAGGTCTTATACTGTTATTAAAACGCTTTTCCAAATAAAGAAACTTGCATCAACAGGTAAATAGTTTTTTGGTGTGTATAAATTGGCAAAAACTCCACAGGCAACTGAAACAATTAAAAACATCTTTATAAATGCGAATAGAAAAAACAAAGACAGCATCTACATGCCTAGCTCACACCTCCCAATAAACACCAACATACAGTGGTTTTTGGTTCAGTGTTAACCCCGTTGGCGTTTAATCAAGCAGTGCCAACTATCCTCACATCATTCTGACATACTGCTAAAATAGACAATTTTGAAAAATAAAGCTTTTGGAAGAAATTCATAGACACCATAAAACACAGTATTCTCATGCAGAAGGTCACAGGATTCCCTCACAGTGCTTGTACCGTTCCACATCCTCAAAGCTTCCACGACAGTATCGCAGGAGTGAATGTATTCACATACAGTGAGATTTCAATCAACACGTCACATGGTTTTCCAACCAGATCTACGGTCACATTCATAACGTGTCAAGGTGTGTGATTACTCGGTATCAAAAAGATTAAAGAGACAAGATGTGTGAAAAACAGTATGGCAGCAGAACCATACTGACAAATGTAATAGAAAAGGCACTTTATTCTTCAACGCTCAGTGAAGATTTACACTGAAGAAATAGTGATGTATGATTACCCACAATTCTCTCCAATTCAATTACCCTCTCATAGTTGATAATTTGTCTCAGCAATGTGAATCTTGACCAGTCTGAATCCCTGAGGGAAAGAAGCAAATGCACCATACAGAGCCATCATGTTAAAAAAATAAACAACCGCTAGATAGTGGCTATGTGCTTCTGCTTCTCAGTAAAAAAAAAAAAAAATCAAATGGGCTACAGAAATCAGATGTAAAAACAATGTTTCATATTTCTGGTAATGCTGCACACTGTGATACTGTCCAGGTTCTGAAAGTAAACAGGCCACTCCTATGGTGTATAAACATTTCCAAAGAATAATATCGGAGATAAAAGATAAGACGATATTGTATGAACACTAACCAAGAAGATTCAGAAAGGTTAGGTCATATTCAACACTGCACAACACAAAACAGACTCACTCGGTCAAGGAGGTGGCGTTCTCCTGTGACCAAATACACAACAGCTTAATATATAGATGTGGAGTTATTTGTACAACCTACTGTACCATTTGAAACGTGCTCAATCAGTGTTGCACATAAGAAAAACGACACAGTAGGATGCTAAAAATTAAACATTTCATCACTGTAATTGTCACAGCTGTGCATTGGAACTGAGAAAACCATAACAAGACTTAAGTCAAGACATTCAAAAACACTTGCATCTAAAACAAGTGGTAAATGGTTCAGTTTCTCTAAACATTTGATTAACTGTTTAAAATGGCACTCACATATTCAAAAGACGTTTTTACATTCAACGCTACCTAAAATGCATTACGGTGTGTCTCAAAGAACATCATATCACTGTTAAACCACAGTCTAGTTAGTAAATGTTAGATGACAAAAAAAAAAAAGCGGGTGAGAGATAAAAGCACAATTAATGTGCCCGTTAAATGTCATCTCTAACATAGAGTGCCTGGCTGGAGATGCATCGGAATGCCACACATACCCCAAAACTCATCGAAAAGGGGGGGAAAAAAAGACAAAAAAACACCTATGTAAAGAATCATTAAAAAATATACAGTATTCATAAATTATGAATTCTAATACAATTAAGGTCCATAAATAAAATATTGCATAAATAAAGTGGTGCATTAAGAAAAAGCTTTGATAAATGGCGGTTAATAAGCATTTGTGGTATTAAAAAAATAAAGAAATAATGGATAAAAATGATCAGTGCTTACAGTAAGTCTCTCCCTAAATGTGTCTGATTTATAAAATCAGTTCTATGAAGGACGTAAACAAGTGAAGATGGAGTGCCGAGAACACTGGACATAGCTGAGAGAAAATTCCACTGATCTATTTAATCAATAAATAATACAAATAACCTTCCGGAACTGCCAAAAGAGCGTCATCTCTCTTGTATACAGGCATCTCTTAAAGGCACAGCTCGCCCCAAAATGAAAATTCTGTCATCATTTTCTCACCCTCATGTTGTTCCAAACCTATATGACTTACTTTGTTCTGAGAAACATACAGCAAAAGATATTAAGTCATACAGGTTTTGAAACAATATCAGGGCGAGTAAATGACGACAGAATTTTCATCTTTTGGTGAACTATCCCTTTAAGGGCCCTCTCCAATTCAGCCCTGCTGCACCAGTCTGCGATAGTGAGGCATGACCTTGCTGTCTGGGAGGTAGAGTGCCATCTCCAAAGCAACAAGAACTGTGAACTCCAGGGAAATCAACTCCTTGCGATTTATTCGGAAACGCTCCTCCAACCTCTGTTCAGGGTCAGGCAGATCGAAAAAGAGAAGAAATAGGTAGGGCAGAAGAGAGAGAGAGAGAGAGAGAGAGAGAGAGAGAGAGAGAGTCAGTGCATAAATCATATTAACCAAGAACACATGAAGCATATACCTATAAAGAACAGTTAAGTCTCTGAATTAAATGAATGTCCGAATCGGTAAGAAACTTACATCGATCAGTTGCTTGACCTCTTGTTTCTTGAGGTCGCTGCTGATCTTGGCAGCTAATAAAACGCAAGCAGCAGACACCAGCTTTCGGTTGTGCTTGTTCAGCCTCCCTTGCAGAACCAGCTTCTCAAAGTAAACATAAGCCATAGCTATGGTAACCGGCTGTAGGCCACACTCCTCGCTCACTGAGCGCATCTCCCTTTTCAAACTGTGGTGGACATTAAAAAAAAGAGGAGAAAAAGAAGTTTGCAAACTTAATTAGGATCAATTTACAACATGCCCATGTTGTATGTTAATTCATTCAGACAAATCTAAAATGTGATTGAGATCAAAGACCCCATAAAAATAGATTCATGGGCACTATTTCTTTCCTGTGTTCACATATTTTCTATTAAACTAGGGAAGAATTCAGTAAATTTTTGGCTGATGCAATAAGTCGATAATAATTTTCAAGCTGTAGCCAATAACTGAATAAATATTAAAAATAAATATTCATTTTGAGATTTGCAAGATTTGCTTTTAAAGATGATGGTAAAGGCAACTATCTAACAATCTAAACATAGAAATATAAGAAATAAACATGCATAATTAAATTTCCTTAGACATGGTCCAAAGCAACTAGTGCTGTCAAACGATTAATCAAGATTAATCGCATCCAAAATAAAAGTTTGTTTACACAATATATGTGTGTGTACTGTGTATATTTATTGTGTATATATAAATACACACACATGCATGTATATATTTTGAAAATATTTACATGTATATATTTATAGTAATTAATATAACTTATATATAAATATATTTAATATATAAACATTTTTCTTAAATATATACATGCATGTGTGTCTATTTATATATATTTACGCACATAATAAATATAACACAGTGCACACACATATTATGAAAACAAAAACTTATTTTGGATGCGATTAATCAATTGACAGCACTAGAAGGTATTTAACCATTTTATTTTACATAAAAATTACTTTACCTTCTGATTTTGCTGAGTGTCAGCTTTATGTGAGGAAACTTCTCCTTGAATGTCTCATTCATGTCTTTCTTCAGGTCGGATGGTTTCACGTACTCAATAACTGTTGCCTGGAGGGGACAAGGACAGTCTTATTATAGTTGTAAAAAAAAAAAAGTATGGGTTTTTATGGCTACTAAATCACAATTGTGGCTGCCAGTATTCAGCTTTTACAGCTAAAGCCTAGTCAGCTGTGATACATATGATAGCATACTTCATGCCTGTAGCTGTTAGACCATACTGAGCCCTTAGGGTTATCATATGACATGCTGGTGTGATCTGATATAGAACATAAGCTGGGTTCAAGGATTATGAATCACTATCACGCTGTAGTGCAACTCAGATGTCCTTGCAAAGCCTTTTCATTGGCATCATGCTAGAAGAGATTATTGAAACTGTGTTGGTTAAAACTTTTCAATCAAGGAGCTTACCACATAAGATGCGAAAATTAAGACTCGCTTGTGCTTCCCACAAGGCCACTGCGGGTCACTGAGTAAGTTGGGGTCATAGTCTGATAGCTCGTCCACACCTAGCAAGAGTTACAACATTAAGCATGTTTGTTTTTTAAAGAAATGAATACTTATGCTCAGCAAGGATGCATTATATTTATCAAAAGTCACAGTTAAGTCATTCATAAATAATGTTACAAAAGATGCCTATTTCAAATAAATGCTGTCCTATTGAACTTTCCATTCATCAAAGAATTCTGAAACAAAATGCAAAGTTTCCACAAAAATATTAAGCAGCACAACTGTTTTCAACATTGCTAATAATAAAAAAACAAGTTTCTTGAACAGCAAATCAGCGTATTTGGATAGTGTGACACTAAAGACTGGAGTAATTGCCATCACCGGAATAAATTACAATTTAAAATATATTAAAATACAAAATTATTTAATTTAATTAAATTGTAATATTTCACAATATTATTGTTTTTACTGTACATAATGTATGTAACTGACCAGGTAACACACCAGTATCCTGTCCAACTGTGCTGTTGATTCGTGAAGGGGTGAAGTTCTTCTGCCCATTAATACGGTTGCGAGACATTGGCATCTGAGCTGTACTGATGTCAGGTGGGCCGCTGCTCTTCTGCCTGACCAAGGCATTAGTTGGAAGCAGAAAACGGGCATATGATACTGTCTGCAACGCAAAACAATCCAGAGCTATCAGTGTAAACACAAACATATACATTGTGCAAAACACACACCCAGTTTAATAGCATGTTGAAATATCTAATGTAGATGTTCAAATAAAGCTTTGAAAAAGTTTAATAAAAAGGTAAACCGCACATTTCAGCCTTTAAATAAAGAAAAGATATAAGTCAAAATGATAATTGATTCATAAATGATTATATGTATTTTATCTGCTCCATAAATAATTCTAGATAACTTATCTGAATTGTTTAAATGTGTAGAATCCACATAAGCTTGTTTTTCA